CTTGGCATCACTGCATGGTTCTCTCCCACTAGAGCATGGATGCTGTTCTCAAAGCTAGCAGGCAAATAGATATCGGACACCCCACTACACATCTTATCTCTCTCTCTTTCTCTCTGCCCTATTGTGGGATATTTCCCCCAAAGTGAGACAAAGGGAGGGATTGAGTTAGACAAAAGTGACTAACAAAGCTGTTAGTACTGGTGCAAGTGAGCTATAAGTGGTGAGAAATTCTGAATGAGTGAGTAGGAGACACACGCCATATAGGGTTACTAATGTGTTGGGTTGGACAGGGGAAGGTGAGAGTGAATGAAGGAAGATGCTGCATGCAATAGTGAGAGTGGTAGATCATGAATCTTGTTGGGAGTTGGTTGCAGGAGGGGTAAAGTTAGTGCGAAGCTCCAGTTCCTTGTTAGCAAATTGAGGAGCTAACTTCCCTTGCTCATCCATCTCTGTGGTCATTCTTCACACACATTAATTATGAAAGGCATCTCTTGACTGACGGCATTTGACCTGGTGCAAAGCTGTATTTTAAATATGAAGCTAGGACCAGGAGTGGTGGGAGATCCTCGCAGTGATGAATACCTTCACCATTACTGAGCGTGCAATAATGTGAGAGGGGCACTGTAAAGGTTTGGTACACATAATAACATGTGAATAACATGAGGTAAAGCACAAAAGCTTAGGTAAAGAAACTCTCCATGAAAGTCCTCAAATTTAGCATGTAGTCAATTTTGGTATTCCGACTGAGAATTGTCCACACATTTTTCATTGTGGTTATACCCCAACATATTGGTCTGTCAGTACCGTAGAATGTGATGCTTTCTGTACAACTTTCACATAGATGTAGATACATTAATAAAAAATAAATTATTTTATAGTGCTATGAGAATTGGAATCTGGAACTGCAGCCTAGTTCAGCAGTACCCTGTAACTGATCATACAGATTTAGTAGAAATATATGAAAGGATTATGCAAATGGACCAGAACTTGTGACAGTATCCCTTATGAACAATATATCTATTTTCTTTAGGAATTCATTGGATTGACTATACAAAATCATGAATAATGCTCCTATGTACAGATTGGATCAGTATTTAATAAAAAGATCAGGCTTGTGAAGAACTAATTTGGCATTGCGCTGAACAACTGAATTGTTCAAATCACATTGGCTATTTTCTCAAAAATTGTTTCTCTGCCTGGATCACTCTTATTTTCTTCCAAGGAAAAGCATTTTTTAATCTAATTTCATATTTGAGAATCTCAACTGAACATTGTTTCTGTTAATTTAGTACAAATGTTTGACTCATTAGATAATGGAAACTAATCAATCTTTGCTTCTTGGAAATGTTAACTTTGCACAATGAATTACTTCCAAAGTATCCAAAAGGGTCGTCCTTTGCACAATAGGTTACCTGTTTGACGTAAAATGTGCGTCAGTAGTTGGTCAATAATCAATATTTGTTTCTTTGGAAATTTCCAACATTGCACAGTAAATCATTAAGTTACTGCTTTTCAAAATATTAATACTGTTTTCTTTTGTACAACAAATATCTTTAGCAGATATAATAAGAAAAATTATGATTCTGTTCACATCAGGCTTTATCCTGACTACCTGAACCTGCAGTTTACTAACTTATGGAATCTGGATTAAGAGTGTTTTCTCAAAACATGTTGAAGCAATTTTATGCCAGCCACTCTCCCAACACATAAACAATGCAATGGCCCAGTAAATACCATGCCACACATGATCAACTACGCTAAATAACTACAGTTCATCTGCTAATTTGTTCTACCACATCAAAAGTGATCAGTCAGAAGAAAGTTAAAATAAATTATAACCATTTTATCCCCTTGAAGTGTTGGAAATTCAATCTTTTGGTGGAAATATTTTGATGAAGTCCTGTCTACTGTTACAGGCGTACCTGTACTTAAAAAAAAAAAAATGTTATTGCTACTGCTATTGGTCTCTGCTCCTGTTTGTTCCACAACATGTCAATGTAAAACATGTGTACCCCCTACGGAGCATATTTAGGGTCTAATCGAGAATGCAGGACAAGTTGAGGTCTTATGTGTGAATGTTTTTAAAGTGTGTGAAGATTTTTAACCCATCCCTTTAAAAAGGGTCAGTGAGATACATAAAGCATATTTTCCTTGTGGTGAATGGGAACTGGCCTTTGCACAATCCAGGGAAGGTGGATTGCAACATTCACTACATTATCTTCTGCTGGACCCCCATTATGTATGTTACAATTATAAGCTTGATTAGATCGTAGTATTTTTTAACCCTGTCTTTAAATCTGCGGTAAATGAAGGACATAACAAAACTTGTTCTAAAGTCTTCAAAATAGTAAACCTGCATGGTTTCATATGGATCGAAGGAAGGCCTAGATTGTTTCAGTGAGATGAAGGTGCAAGGTATTTATGCTTTAAGAGAATGGCAGCAGTTTCTGAGTTTACAATGAGGCAACCCCAAGTAATCCCAAATCCCAGAGAGGTGATGAAGGTACTGGATTATGAACAGTTGTGTCATGAACAATTCATTTACTTCTAAAGGGAGTTGAGATTGAGAATAGTTAATTAGCATTTCTACCAAGATACAAAATTAATGTATTTCATGTTACCTGAGAGAAGTCAGTGGGAGCCATTTTCAGATCAGATGTAGTGTTTCCTACAATATGCATTATGGTAATCAGCAGTTTTGGTCTACAGAGAGAAGAGAATTCTTGACTTTGTGAGCTACATCAGACAGATATGGGTAGAAGATGGCTTCGAGTCAAAGAGGCACATCCTTACATTTCCTTTTATGATATTTGTGGATTTGTTCTGGCACAGAGGAATAAGAATCATCAGAACAGCTCTTTTGGCTGAATCTAAGAAAGTCACTGAAAACTGAGAAAGGTACCTTTTAAAGTTGCTAGGTGAAGTGGAAACTCAGGAATCCATTGGGAGCAACTGTGGACAGTTTGTTATAAAAACTGTAAAGAAAAAGTAAGGTAGATAAAAGGAGTTGAAGTATGTATGAATCGTGAAATCATGCAACACATCATAGAGTCATAAAGCATGAAAAGAGGGCTTTCAGCCCATCATGTCTGCACCAATCATCAAGCACCTTTCTATTCTAGAACCAGTTCCCAGCACTTGGCCTGTTGCCAGTATGCTACAACATTTCAAGTGTTTATTTAAGTACTTCTTAAACATTGTGATGGGTCCCATCTCTAGCATCCTTTCAAAAGGTGTGTTCTGTGGGTAAAAAGGTTCTTCCTCAAATCCCCTTTAAACCTCCTGCCCCTTCTCATAAATCTATGCTGCTGTTTGTTGACCCATCTCTGAAGGGTAAAGGTTCTTCGTATCTATGCTATTTTAACTTTGTACATAAGATAATCCAGCCTAGATATGGTCTCTTCCATAGCTGAAAATGCTTCAGTTCAGCCAACATCTTGGTGGGTTTCCTTTCACCCTCTCTATTGCAATCACATCCTTCCTTTGGTGTGGCAACCAGATCTGTGCACAGTATTCCAACTGTGACCCAACTAACAAGTTATCTAGCTCCATCATAACTTCACTGTTCTTGATCCAATGCCTCAACAAACATGCTTCGTTAACCATATTATTCACCTGTCCCTGTGGCCTTCAAGGATTTGTGGATATGCACACCAAGGTCCCTCTGATCTTCTGTCCTTTATATTATCCATTGCCTTGTTAGTCCTCTCAAAATACATCACGTCACACTTTTCCAAACTAAATTCCATTTGGCGCTGTTTTGGCTGGTTGATCAGTCCATTAATGCTGTCTTGTAGTCTAAGCCTTTCCCCCTTGCTTTTTTACACACCATCAATTTTCATGTCATCTCCAAGCTCACATTCGTGTCTTGATCATTAATTTACTTGACAAATAACAAGGGATCCAGCACCAAACCCTGTGGTGTGCCATTGGACACAGGCTTCCAGTCACAAAAATAATATTTGACCATCACGCTCTGCCTCCTGCCACTAAGCCAGTTATGGATGCAATTTGCTAAATTGCCTGGATTCCATGGGCTCTTACCTCCTTAACCAGTCTCACATGTGACACCTTCTACTTCAGTAAGTGCACTATCCTTATTCCGATAAGCTCTGTAGCTATCCATTTTCTGGCCACACTGGTTCAACTTTATCAAATTAAAAATATGATTGTCTAGTAGAAATGCAGAATTATTTTAAAAGTTCTTTGTGTTCTATATAAATCGGATTTCAATCTGAATCTATTTAAAACATAAGTCAGAAGGCAAATGCCCAGAAATCAGATTACACTGCACCTATGCCACACAGATGAAACGAGTATCTATTGCAAGTTCAATCTGTCATGTACACAGCAAGCTCTCATTCCATGCCTGAAGCAGACTTCTGTAATATTGGTTAGGCTTTCTTCCTAGTCACCTTAACTCTAACCTATGCTGCAGTCAGATTCTTCAGACTCTTCAGGTACTGCTGGAGATTGCAATCTGAAAATTAGATTAAGATTTTTCCACTTCCTTTAACGTGGAGCCAGGAAAACCAGGAATGCTCCTTCTGATTCCAAATTAAATCCACAGACTAACAATACCATCAGAAACATCCTATTCTTTCCCAACTGAAAGCCCAATTCTGAAAATCTCTGCCCAACTCTACACTCAACACTCAATCCCACCGTGACCACTGAATTACCTCAAGGGTTGCAACTAGCATTGGTGGGTAATCAGTAATAAAGAAAATGAGACAGATGGGCTAATTTTCTGTTGTTGTGCTGGCTCTTTGCCAGCATTTAGGCACAATGTCCTATATTTCAATTCTGAACATCAACATTGTGTAAAATCAGATAAAGCTGAGCCTATCTCTGTAAATGTATTGCAGACAGTCTTAGCCTTCTAGCTCAAGGCCTTTCGCCAACATATAAGCACCCCAGATTGATAACATGTGACAGATCATGCAATTTATCCAGTTTATTCTTACTTGAAGCTTGTATATAAAGAGCTCACAAGACGATTGAGTGCATTACAGTGTAATTTACTGTTTTGTTAAATAATATTAATCTGAATGCAAAAAGACTGAAATTTTGTAATCAAAAGATCCCACTAAAAATATAATTCAGTTGCAACCACCAATATCTCTACAGCATCAAAAAAGAAATACTTGATCGAAAATGTTTATTCCACTACGAACAGTGATACCTGGATACATCAGACTACTGCAGGTGAGCATTGGAAAGGGACAGTTTGAGTGTGAAGAACTTGTCTGAAGTTTAAGTCGGTGTATTTTAGTTTTGTATAATAACTTTTAGTTCTTGCATGTCAAAATTACTGAATTCACATGTATACACAGTTATGTTATACAATGATAAAATCTATGTTGATAAATTAAACTAACTTTTGTGAGACTCCATGATCTTTCCTGATGCTTTTAGCTGAGCTTTTGCAAATTTTATTCTGAATTATATAAACATATTTTCTGAAATTATGGAAAATGGTGCAAATCGCCTTAAAGCTAAAATAAATATCGTGCCACATTCAGGCCATTCTTGATGCTCAGCATGAGGTACTCCTGACTGCACTTAAGATGCCATCAGTGTTAGACAACTAATGGAACACTACATGTCATTTATGACTGATATCACTGACAGCTTCTATTGTTTTGACTAATAGCACAATATAAAAGCACCCAGCTTTTAAAGTGTCCATTTCATCTGTGTGGCATAGGCGCAGGGTAGTCTTATTTCTGGGCATTTTCCTCCTGGCTTACATTTTAAATAGATTCAGGTTGAAATCTGATTTATACAGAACACAAAAAGGAAATCAAATAATGAATGGTTGCTACTGCAATATCTTGAATTACATCCACCAATTTAAATGATGCTAAGCAATTTGTAGGCAAAGTTGAGGACGGACAGTTATGATGGGAATATGGTTATTGCAGGTAAAATATAATAATAAATTAGAATTTTGTAATGCGTAGGATTTTATAGACATAGTTTATGTAACAAGGTCAACTATTTTGTTACAGTAACTTACAATGGATAACAATAACATTACTATAAAATTTTGAATGTGTTGCTCCTTTTGTGGTACTGATTAGTTTAACACAGTCTTCCTCAAAAGGTAAGTACTGCTGCTTTGCATTAGAAAGCCAGAGAGGTGGATGAAAGTTTAACATTGGAAAGAGAATCAGGAATTTTTAAAGCTCACTGCCAGTAATAAATTAAGAAAATTTATAAATTCTGGCAATCTCAGGAATGGCATCACGTCATTAATTTCTTTATTAACGTGTTAGTGGCATTCTTTATCTGAGTGAGAAATTAGTATTCCTTTCAAACATTTTTAGAAAGGTTTCTAAACCTTTCTAAAGGTAACACAAAGCTCATTATTTTTTGGAATATCACACTTTGCATATAAATATTGTTAACCGTCACATTGTAATCCTGTTTATATTGCCACAAAGTGCTGATATTATTAATAATCAACAATGTCCTACCTTACAAAGAGCACGGTGGTCACTAATCTCTTGACCAATGATAATTGACAATACTTTTGATGATTAACAAAGTTGCAAAAATTTCAAGTCTTTTAAGTTTATATGAACTTTGGTACATTTTACAGATACATTAAACTCACCTTCACTCGATGTCCTGCAGATGTCCTAGGAATATAGTTATGGTTGGTAGACTCAGGGAAAATTACATGCTAAACAGATAAGTCAAAATTTTCCACCAATTTGCAGCTCCTATCTTTGTATAAGACCCCAGGACCGACGCAGTTTCACCACTCCAGTTTTCCATCACTGACAGTTCTTTGCACATTAGACCTTTCACACCATGATTTGTGCAACATCTACTGCCTCTCTAGAACATTTATTAGTTTAGATAAATGTTATTTAATTTTGCCTGTCTGAGTTTTTTTTCTCTTTCTTATGTTTTCCAAGTGCTTATAAGACATCAACTCCTGGCAACGAACTTCCAGAAGCATAATACTACGCTGTCCTTTCTAGAGCGTTTTGGGTCACCTGTTGTTTAGTAACCAGTCATAGATTTCACTCAGTGGCAAAATGTAAAACAAATAGAGCAGACAGAAGCAAACAAACAAAAGCAGTAATGTACAAAGAGATCAGGCACAACTGAAATTTTCTAGCTACACTGTAAATACACAATATACCTTTGCGATATGTTGTCTTCATTGTGAAAAAAAATTAAATACCTGATTTTTGGATGAGCATTTCTGCAAATTTTAATACTCTTTTTAAAAAAAAGTCCATCTATGACCTCCATAAACATTACTTGTCATCAAAACTTGATAAAGCATTATGCCAGGTACGTCTTGCTTTTATAGAATGCATCCACAAAAAAAAACAGTTGCTCCATGACAAGCATAATAAGGTTTAGAAATCCCTTTAGCAAATAGCACGTATGCACAAACAGCATGATGACCTCCCAGCCAATATTTGAGACATTCTTATGTCCATTGCTGCTGCAAATTAAACAATGAGAAAAGATTTACACAATAATAGATTGTCATCCAATTCTGTGGAAACCAAGAGTAGATGACACACAACAATTAGTGTAGCAGTACAAGACTTGTTTCAGGAAATCCCTCAGATCAGAATTTCAATGTCAACCAGGACACTTTTGTGGAGAAACTCAAGTTTTAGTTATATCCAGTATTTTTAGACTTTAATCCCTTAGAGACATTTCAAACAAAATGCGTGTCCTCCCCAATCAACTCACAGAGCAGAAGTCCCAGATCTCCACCAAGGGATATTGGTAATATTTCCTTTCTACAAGTACAGTTTTGAACTTAGTCTGCACTATTTTGATTAAGAGCCTCTGGAAAGCGAATTTGAAGAAAGAGTTCAAATTGACAACTTTCCACTGACAATGTTGCAGACAACAACTGATGTCACAGACTTGGAGCTACAGGTTCGTAGATCTTTGAAGGTTGCAAGGTATATTGAAAAAGTTGTTAGCAAAGCAATGAGTTCTTGAGCTTCATAAATAGAGGCCTTGAGTAAACAAGCAGTAAAGTGATGTTGAGCATTCATAAAGCTCTGGTTGAGTCACAACTAGAATTTCACATCCTGTTCAGCTCACCATACTTTATTAAGATTGTGAGAATCAATGAGAGGGTGCAGAGATTCATAAGAATGCTTCCAGGGTTGGGGAGTTTTGATTATAAGGTTACATTAGAGAAGCAGGGGCTGTTGTCCTTGGAACAAGGAAGATTAAGGGGATATTTGAGAGAGATGTAGAAGAATATAACAGGTTTGAATATAGATAAAGGTAATCTGTTCTCATTAGTTGATGGTGCAAGGATTATGGAGGACAGATTTAAAGTTTTGGATCAAGAGATGCAGGAGTTTGTGAGGAAGAACTTCCTGTACAGTGAGTGATGATGATCCAGAATGTGCTGCCTGTAAAGGAGGTAGACATAAAGATGATCAATGACTTCAACAGTTAATTCGGTGAGGATTTGAAGCAAATAAACTTTCAGTACTAAGGGGATGGAGTAGAGGAATGTGACTGTTTGCATTGCTCTACAGAGAGCCATCATGGACCCAATTCCCCAAATGACCTTTTTTTTCCTTTGGGTAGGGACACTATCACTGCATTGCAAGAGAGGCCCACGTCAATTTGCTGACAATAACCTCTTTCTTTACCATAAAAGATTGATCTTCTCTGTCTGTTTAGTGCCAACCTGGAAATGTTCTTGAAATTTTCTCAAGTTCAGTTTCAAGTTGTGGAAAGGAGCTTGACCTATCAGCCATTCCTCAATACCTGAGTGTGCTTATACAGTTCATGTCCATAGTCACGGAAAATGACAGGTTGCAGCATCTCCATGTGCATTAGCACTCTGATGGTTGGCTCATCAAAGCCTTCTACTGAAAGTCTACAAGCAGCAAAGTGTCCTGTCACATCTGATACAGCAACATTGCAAGTTTGTGTGAGCTGTTTTTATTTGGATCACAAAGAGATCCTGTTTTATTCGAGCCACTTCAGAAATTGTCTCCTTATTTCCATTGGTTTAAATTACGTCATCAATTTAGACCCACCATTCAAATTTCTTTGAATTCATTTTTTGTCAATACATAATGTCCTTCTTTTGCTGTGTTTCTTGTCAATTGGTAAAGCTATGTTGGAGATTAGATGTATTTAATTCGTCATACTAACAGTCTTTTGGACGCATAAAGCTTTTAACCTAATGTTGTTTCCCACTTTCTTTTGATTTAAATTGGCTATCTGTCTTTTTATCTGCTGTCATACAGAACAGAATTTTTTTCAATCTAGACAATCACAAAAACCTAACTGAGAATAATTTAGGAAGTGTGGACAATTATTCATTTCCCATGGAGTAGGCCAAAGGCAAATAAGTGACTCAAGCAGTAGCAGGCCAAATAAATGGGTTCAATGTATTTCACATTGCTATGACCTTGCACCACAAGACCACCACGTCTGACACAATTACATCATGTGTTTGTAAATACAAAAGCTTTTTATCAAATTTTAGAAAAATACAGATTGGTTTAAATTTGGTTTACTTAAGGAACCAAAGTATTTGAAGTGTGTTAATATTCAAATTATTTCCAAACTATCCTGTTACATTTGGAGGCTAAGTGTTTAGCACTGCTGCCTCTCAGGGTTACTGGGTTCAATTCCAGCCTTGGTTAACTGTCAGTGCAGAGTTTGCACATTCTCCCTGTGTCTGCGTGAGTTTCCTCCAGGTGCCCTGGTTTACTCCCACAGTTCAAAGATGTGCAGGTTAGGTGGGTTGGCCATGCCAAATTGCCCCATAGTTTCCAGGGATGTGCAGGCTAGGTGGATTAGCGAAAGTAAATGTGGGGTTACAGAAATCAGGTGTGGGACTGTGTTTGAATGGAATGCTGTTCAGAGGGTCGGTGCGTACTTGGTGGTCCAAATGACCTCTTCCTGCACTGTAGGAATTCTGAGATTCTATGATATGATCTGAAGCAGTAACATTGCAGGGGGAGGTGATGGCCTATTGGTATTATCACTAGATTATTAATCCAGAGACCCAGGTAATGTTCTAGGGACCCAGGTTTGAATCCCACTATGGAAGATGGTAGAATATCAGTCAAAAAAAAAATCTGGAATTAAGAGTCTAATGATGACCACAAAACCAATCCTGATTGTCAGGGAAAGCCCATCTGGTTCGATAATGTCCTTTAGAGAAGATAACTGCCATTCTGACTTACATGTGACTGCAGACCCACAGTAATGTGGCTAACTTAATGAATGGGTAATAAATGCTGGCCCAGCCAGGGATACCTACTTTTTTTTAAATCTGCAGGGAAATTTGGGATTCTAATGCCAGTCTTCAAGTCTTGATGTTTTCTCTGAGGACAGTAGAATCAATCTAGTGCATTTGATTTCCCACTTTTGTTTACGCGTATTAGATTGCAAACTCCTTTTTAATTCAACACTTCATAAAATGAATGAACTGGAGCTACAAAGTTCTCTCAGTTATAATTTGAAATATAGGTCACTCCAAAGCATCCAGCCATATATTTTATTTACAGTGCAACCAATTGACAAGCAGAAGTGATGTATTGATGACAACTAGATTTGAATACAAGACTGGATGGGTAAAAATGTGTTGCCTCTTTTGCTAGTTAATGGATGCTATATTAAAATTACAACTTGACTATATGCAATAATGAAAGTAAGATTGGATGGCACAAATGTATGGGGACTGATTTACATTGCAAAACCCTTAGAAACAAAAGCTGTACATGCAGAAATTCCTGGTATTTTCTCTTTGCCTCACAAGTAAATTACCAGTTTAGTGGAACCACAGCACTGACAAGTTCCCTTGAAACTACATGCAGGGAGATATCAAGAAGTGAAACAAGATGGTTTGTGTCATTGAGCCTGGCTGCAGTTTTTAGCTAATGAAGCCAATCACACTCACCAACAGTGGATAACACTGCAAACTTATGGAGTTTTGTTTCTATATAGCAGCTTTTGCAAATATATGAAGTTTGTCATATTTCCGTTCATCATAGTAAAATAATAACTAATCATTTCCTGTAATTTCTGTGATAAAATAATAGAAGCACAAATGTCTTGGAAATTGTTTTTTTCTAAAAAATAATGCAGCTTAAATGCACCTTATTGGTTGTGAAAAGTTATTTTCAAATAAGAGAAACACAAAGTTACGAGGCCCCACTGTTAAAAGGTTCAGATTTAGTATGTGCCATTTGTAGAAAAATTGTAAATGCATTTATTAATAATTCCTTTACAATTTCACTACAAACCTCACATTTTATTTTATAATGCTTTCTATAAGGTGTGTAAGAATGGTTTTATTCAATTTTGAATCATCATTGCTGTCAGAGCCAGTAATGGACATTATGGTAAGTACACCTAATTTGCTCTGTGCCTTTGTATGATTAAATCAATAGCAGACAAACAGTAATAATTTAATAAAAGCAAAGTACTATGGGTGCTAACGATCTGAAATAAAAAGAGAAAATGCTGGAAAAACTCAGAGTATCTGACAGTATCTGTATTGAGAGTGACAGAGTTAACATTTTGAGTCTAATATGATGCTTCTTCAGAACTAAAGAGGGCCAAAAATGACCATTTTTATGCTGTTTGATAATAAGGGAGGGGATTGAGTTGGAACAGATAGTGCCTATAGTAAAAGACAAAGAATGTACTATTGGCAGTTAAAGGGATATATAGATAAATAAATGCTGCTAATAGCAAAAATAGGTAAACTTTGATGACAGCAAACCTAAGCAAACAAAATGTAGGGTTGGGGGTAGGTGGTTGTAATCAAAATGGAGGATCAAATTCAAACATTGTCCTTCATCCTGATTATAGTGCCAACCCCATCCACTGCATGTCTTGTTTCCATGTGTATGCCCTCATCAGAACTGTTAACACATATCATTAATACCTGTTTTGGATCTCTATCTCCCCTTTACTTCCATTAGCATTCCCTTTGCCTGTTCCTAGAGGTAATCTGTTCCACTTGCTCCTCCCATTTTCTCAACAGCATAGAAACCATCAGTTTCTAGGCCTCTTCTGAGGTTCTCCAGAATTTTCTGTTTTTATCGTGATGAATTACTTAGGGTGATGAAACATCATAGATAATTCATTGATAGCTCTCATAATGTACGTATGCATAAATAAATTAAAATAGCGCAAAACATGGGTGAGATTGGACCATACAATCACTCTAGCCAGCCCCACTATTCAATAAAATCATGGTGGATCTTCTGCCAGATCTCAACTTTGAACAGCTCCTCTCCATAATGGTTTCAAAGAAACCAAAATCTGTTTATTCCACGCTTAAATATGCTCAAAAATGAGGGCATCCACAAGCCTTGAGGCATGACATTTCCAATGATTCCCAATTCTCTGAATGAAGAAATTTCTCATCTCAATCCTGAAACTGAAACTTTTCTTCAATTTCTAGAGCCCCCCAATAAAGGAAACAACTTTTGTGTTTGTCAAACTTCTTCAGAATTCTGTAGCTTTGAATGAGATCACATTTCATTCTTCTAAATTCCAGGGAATATAGGCTCAATTTACCCAGTCTCATAGGACAACCTTCTCATTACAGAAAACAATCAGTTGAATTTTGCTTTACTGCCTGCAAAGTAAGTATATCTTTCCTCAGATGTGGAGGTCAAATATGGAGGTTGATGCTATGCACGTTATTCCAGATTTGATCTCACTAAGGCCTATACAGTTGTAGCAAAACCTTATTATTCAAATACTATAATCCCCTTGCAATAAAGGCCAACATACTATTTGCCCTCATGATTGCTTAGATTAAATGCACTTACCTGCATTTGTTCTGTCCATAGAAAACTAATGTTTGAAGTTTCAAAAATCCACTGTTGAAATATTTTAATGTTTTAAAGTATTCATTCGAACATTGAGTTGCATTGTGTCACAATAACTGAACAATTTAATGGTGTGTCCTGAATATGCAACACATGCTGAATAAAATAGTACTGATTTTCTATTGTTGAAATGTCCTATCCGTGGTTACCGGAAAGCACAGATGCCTGCCCAGCAGACTCTTTGGCACTCTGACTGATCTTAGTATTATGAATGAAAAACGGGCTCTATGTTACCTGGAATTATTTGTAGGCAAGAGTAGAGTTATTGATTGTTCATCATTACAAACAAGAATCTATTTCAAAGTGGTTGCCTAAAACTTTTTTTAAAATTGAAACTAACTAGTTTTTTTTTGTCTTTTAGATTCGATCTGCCAGCAAAGTGACACTGAACAATACAGACACATTGATGCATGGCACAGCTCTATTTCTTGGCGTGTTAGGTTTCAGCATGTCCTACTACAGTACACGACAAATGCAACTTCAGCAGAAATCATTAACTAACTTTAAAACAGGCGCCTGATAAGAAGTGGATACAGAATTTTCACAGTCAGGCCATGAAAGTGAGATTGTATTTGATGGTAAATGTTGTCAGATCACCTCCTGGACTACGCCTGCTGTCTTAAAGTTTTAAAAACCAATTAGCTTTGCTGCCATTACAATTGCACTAATGATTTGTCCTGGTAAAGGCAATCGGCCTTTAGCTAACGCAGACTGTTAAATTCTGAAACTTTGTGCGCAGAAATTTGAATCTGAAGCTAAGTCTAAACCTTATTATAATCAATTCTGCAAAATGGAGACAATACAGCAGCGCTATCATTCACCATGATGGCTGTATGCAGAAATATATACAAAATGATTCCATTTAACGAGCCACAAAATTTTGCAGAAATGAAAAAAGAACCGATTTTATCATCAGCTTCTGAAAAAGTGGCAGACATGGTGGGCCAAATGCACCATAAGAATGGAAGGAGCAGATATAGGCCATTTGGCCCTCTATGCCTACTCTGTCATTCAGTAAGATAATGGCTGATTTTCTACCTCAACTCCACCTTACTGCACAACATTCCTATTGCTTGATTGTCAACACATCTAAAAATCCATAGATCTCTGACTTGAATGTACTTGATGATTGAGCATTTACACCCCTCCAGTTCAGAGGATTCCAAATATTCCCAGTCCTTTGAGTGAAGAAATTCCTCCTCATCTCAATCCTTAATGGCTAAATCTTCCTAGTGGGGCTGCGATCCCTGGGTCTGGACTCTACAGGCTGGAAAAATAGCCTCTCTAGTAGCAATCCCGTCACGTCTCTTTAGAACTATATATCTTTCAATGAGATCACTTCTTATTCATTTAAATTTCAGGCAATAGGCTTAGTCCTCTGAATTTCTCCTCATAGGAGAATCCCTGCATTCCAAAAATCAGTCTACTGATCCTTTATTACCTTCCTTTGAAGAGAAGTGTATCCTTCCTTTGGTATGGAAACCAAAATTGTTCTCAGTACTGCACGTGTGGTTTCCCCAAGGTCCTATATAATTGCAGCAAGGCTTCTTTGTTCTTATACTCCAAAGCCCATGTAAGAAAGGTTTATATTCCACTTGTTTTCCCCTAATTTCGTACTGTACCTTGCTTGTTAACTTCCTGAGAATTGTGTGTATGAGAATACCCTTTGAAAACCAACATCTCCAAACTCTTGCCATTTAATAAATATTTTATTTTTCTATTTTTGTTACCAAAATGAATAAATACATCTGGCTCCAAATTATGTCCAAGTGTCACAATTTTACTTACTCACCCATCCATGTCCCTTTGTAGCTGATTTGCAACCTCCTCAGACCTTACTTTCCCATCTAACTTTGTATCATCAGCAAGCTTGAACACATAACAAATTGTTGATGTAAATTATAAATAACTGAGCCCCAATAACCGATCCTTGCAGTACCACAATGCAGTTTGTTAAAGTAAATTGTGCCATTTATTCAGATTGTTTGGTTTCTGCCTGTTAGCCAATCTTCAATGCATGCAAACATATTGTCTACGATCCCACAAGTCATGCTTTCTCTCCCCCTTCTTGAATAACAGGCTTGTTTTTGTTATTTCCTATCCCTAGAGATGATTCAAAAAGCTAAGAGATCAAAATGCAACTTCTAATTTTGTAGCCATCTCCTATGACATATGCCATCAAGTTCAGGAGATTTGTCAGCTCGTAGCTTCATTAATTTCCCCAGTACATTATCTGTACTAATACTTTTTTTTAAAAGTTCCTCAATCTCACTAAACACTTGGTTCCTCATTATTTCTATAATGCTGTTTGTGTCTTCTAACATGAAGGATACAAAGGATTTGTTTATTGCTTCTGCTATTTATTTATTCCACTTGCAATTTACCTGTCTGCCTATAAGAAAGATGTTTACTGTTGTTAATCTCTTTTCTTCCATTAATGTTTTTACATATCTACAGAAACTTTTCCAATTTATTTCTATGTCTGTTCCTAGTTTACTTCCATCTTCTAACATCTCTCTATATCCTTTTTGTTCAACGTTTTCTGAAATTTAAGATCATCCTCAATCTCACATTTGATATTCTTTAGGAACACTAGAAGCTTTTACTTTTACTCTAATAGTATCCGTAAAAATCTTAATAGCCAACATTGGACCACTTTTCATGCCGGGTTTTTATTTCTTAAGAATTGTTCTGTGTATTGTGAGTAATAATTTTTAAAATACTTGACATTGCATATCTACCCCTTACTTTACTTATCTTTACAAAGATATCATCAGAAAAAATATGCATTGCCAGTATTCAACTGTAACAAGTAATAATTTCATTAGCTTTTGTGAATAAGTAACGGTACTGACTTAATCTGTGGTTTTGAAGGATCATGGTATCTTTGTCTGCTCAAAATACCATTCATTTCATTATCTGACAATCATTGCATGATTGTATTTTCCCAAATGAAATATTTTAAATATGAATAGAAACACAGCAATATAATGCTATGCAATGATATATTTGACAATTTAAGGAATAACATTTATTTTGCTGTATAAAGGCCATTAACGACTGCAAATCATGAAATACTTAACCAGACCATAGCAGCAAATAAGTGAATTATCAGAGCAAGAGAAAGAGGCAAAACTTAATTGCTCAAGACAAAAATAAAAAATCACTTTTGCCTCAATACTCAACTATCTCTGGTGACACTTAGAGATGTAAAAGAACTTTCATTACAATATGAAAACTACCAAGCTCAACTTCATGATCACAAAGAAAAGTGTATTTTTACAGAAATATGGCAAATAGATGTAATTTTAATTTACTTCAGCTCTGTCTTTTCAGTTTATTCTCCTTCAGGTCTCTGAAGGAAGACAGACCTGACCCACAGCACTCAAACCTCCACCACACATAGGACAAGGACGTAGATATCAAATCTAACCCAAGGAGCCCATGTTGCTATGGTAACAGGCACTTTTCCATGCATGTTGTGTGTGGAACTACAAATACTGATGGTAGAGATTTCAACATTTCTGACTTGTTCAAGCTGTCTCTGATTCTGCAATGTGACCAAGATGGTAGGCAAACTCTGCTTAATGCCCACTACCATTTTGGATTGAATTCCTTGACCATGAATCAAGCCTGACACATGGGTCAATCAATGTATCCAGCATCCTGATTGTGCATGACCATCAGCATTTTCCTATTGGGGTTGTAGCGATTACAGATCAGGTTCAATGTTTATGATCCAGTTAGAGACCAGTGACTTTTAATTTCAAAATAGACAAAATTTGAAAACCCAAATACTTACTTAGAGAATAACCATATGATTTTGCATTTTATAAAACTTCAGAAAGTCAGAAAGTTAAAACAATCTACAATACCTAAGTTTTTACCTTTAACACAAGCTAAGTATAAATTAACAACCAAAATGTAGTAAAACACAGCGCAAAAAAGCAAAGAACTGTGGGTGCTGGAAATCAGAAACAAAAGCAGAAATTGCTGGGAAAACCCAATTTAGTATTGAACCTTATCATATTATAATTGCTATTTCCAATGCTCCCTCACTCTGACGTTCTCTACTTGGCTTGCCTTATTTCCTAGGACCAGACCCACACAGCTCCATCAGTGGTAGGACTGGAAGTGTACTGTTCCAGAAATTTCTCCTGTCTCATTGTAGGAATTTCTCCCCTTCTGTGCCCCATACTCTACCTTTTTCCCAATTACCCAAGGTAATTGAAATCACCAACTATCACAATCCTACTTGTCCTGCAGATTTCCATAACATGCCAACAATGGCCACTTCTACTTCCTCCCCACTGTTTGGAGGTCTGTAATAAATATCTATCAAGGTCACCGCTCCCTTCCTGTTTCTCATCTCCAACCAAATAGATTCTAATTCAAGAACTGCATCTGATTCAAGGGTAATGATATTATCTTTGACCAAAACCATTACACCTCTTCTCTTTTTACCCATCCAGTTTCTACTAATAACCTTATAAACCGGAATGTTAAGTATCCAGTCCTGTTCTGGCTTGGGCCATGTTTCTGTTAATGCTGCTTTGTCATATCCTCCTAAAGCAATTTCTGTTTCTTGTTCCCCAATTTGTTCACTACATTCTATGCATACAATTTAACCCTGCCCTTATCTCTTTCTTGCCCATTGGGATGTGACCATTTCTTTGTTCACTGTCAACATTCAACCCTTCCCTCACTTCCTTTTCCCTGTTTACCATTTCTTCTCTTTTGCCCTCGCTGCTTCTTCTCAAACTAGTTCATTCGTCGACTGACCCACCTGGCGTACAAGTTTAAATCTATTTCCACTACAATATTTAATCTCTCAGCCAGATGATTAGTTCCATTTCTGCTCAGGTGAAGACCATCTCTTCCGAACAGCTTTCTCCTTTCCCAAAAGTGATCCCAATCTCCCAAAAATCATAACCCTTTCCTATTATATAAGCCACACATTTAGCTCCCTGATCTGCCTTTGCCTAAATGGTGAAGGTCATGGCACAGACAGAATTTCTGAGATTACTATCCTGGAGATCTTATGTTTCAACATTTTCCCTAACTCCTGGAACGATCCTGCAAGATCTTCAAGCTGTCCTGAAAATGTTGATGATTCCCACATGAACCTCAACCACTGATTGTGCATCCTCCATTTCCAGAAGTTTATTCAGCCCTCCCAAACACTTGCATCCCAGAGGCAACAGACTATACTCAAGGACTCAAAATCTTGGCTGCAAACTAGGCAGCCTATCCCTCAAACTGTTGCGTCACCCACTCCTACCACCCTTTCTAATACACTTCCATCAACCTCACTACCACTGAATCACCAACATCTCATATCACTCTGTCTTCCTCCTGAGGGGTTTCAACTCTTTACTTTGAAGACCCAACTTCCCTCAAAAGCCACACTGACTTGGACTTCCTCAAAGGTTGCTTAATCTCATCTCCTGAGGCCATGCTATTTCTGGATTCCCAAGGTTTACATTCCAACATTGACTGATGGGCACTTTTCCAGTTCATGAGACATACTGAGCCAATCTCCATTGTTTCAGAGAGTTACTTCTGCAACAAAGGCCAGCAGTACTGAGCCAGTGACTTTCTGCCACCTTCTAAACTCCAATTGATGTCTTCTGGGCCTCAACTGGACTTTTCCGACTGGACTGGTTGCAATTCCTAAATGTCTGATAGGAAATTAAAGGAGAGGATAGAAGTCGGGGAAGGTGTCTGACATAAGAAGCAAATGATCAATGATCACACTATCAGCAGTTTGCCCAGTACGTTAGGAGAATCAGGGTAAGCTGATAGTTCAGAAGGGTCATAAAGCTGGAGCATACAACCATCCTCAGTATTCTCAATGACATCAGATGACGTGCTTAATTGCAGTTAGTTCCACAATGTTGAAAGCAAACTCCACCAGAGAACTCAGGAAACAGAAGTATTCTTATTCCCTGCCATACCAGTTCTATCTACTCCTTTTTATTTTATGTGACCTCATCCTGAAAGGGACTGCCCAAAATGTCACTGTTTGTATTACACTATATTCAGGCAAAATTAAAGGCAAATGAGTTTAATGACAAAATAGTGCATGGTGCAAAGCAAAAGATGACAGTAGGGCATTAAAGAAACAAAACATGGAACTGCAAAGATGTGAATGGACATGGCATTAACAACAATAGCCATCCAAAAGCAACTTAAGATTCATTGTTATTGAACTCAGCGATAAGGTAGCAAGGCTGTGATATCCCTAATCTGAAGGTGAGGCCTCATTTCTCAAACTTATGTTGAACTTTATTCGAACTGTGTAGGAGGTCCAGAACAGATGGTAGAGTGGAGATGGCGAAGAAGGAGAATTAAAACGACCAGTGACTGGAAGCTCAGAGTTATGCTTGCAGTCTGAAATTAGGTGTTCTACAAAGCAGTCCCCAAATCTGCTTATTGTCTTTCCAATGTGGAAGAGCAACATGTCTACGAAAGAATTAAATCACTGTTTCACATAAAAGGAATGTTTGCGGATTTGGGTAAGATGGCAGAATGGTGGAGGATGATCCATTGAATTTGGAGGCTGGTGGGGTGGAAAGGAAGATGAGAAGAACCATGTTTTGATTCTTAGAGGAAGGTGAAGGTTTGAGAACTGACGTGCAAGAAATGGAATGGAATAATCTGGTTGAAGATCTCGTCAACAACATTGTTTCCTCAAATGAGGTATAAAGAAGACATATGATGGATCACATGCACCGGAGATGGAGAAACAGTGAAAATGGATTAGAATCCTTCAAGAGGTGCTATTGAAGTCAGTGGGCTTAGAGTGGATATTGGTTGATAGCCTATATCCAGAAATGGAGACAGAGTAGTTGAGGAAGGAAAATAAGATTTGGAGATGGATCATGAACAGGGGAGGGAAGGGTTGAAGCTAGAAGCAAAGATTATGAGATTTCCATGTTCAGACTAGAGCAAGAAAAGGCAACAATACAGTCACTAACATGTTGTAAAACATGGTTAGGAAGGCACCTGTGCAGCACTGCAATATAATATGTTCTATGAAAAGGAAGACAGGACCCACTTAATCATTGCCTCTTTCCTTAAAAAAGAGACCCTATTTTCTGTGGTATTTTCCCAGATGACCACTCTTGCACCTTGTGGTGTTTGCCTCTTCTAGTATGTTGTACAAGGTAAGGGTTGTCTGAGACAACGTGCTGACACCAAACCTTTTCCAAAACCACACTACCAACTCCATCCCTGTCCCTTTAAGCAATCTGAGATAAGCCAGTCAGTTCACAGCCTTGTGTCACAATTGACTCTAAGATGTGCCTGTGACCTCATATTCACACTGAAAGACCATTTATTTCCACCTTTATTATTTCATCCAACTTCACCTGTGTCTCAGATCATCTGTTTGTTACTGAAACTCTCATTCAGACATTTATTGGTTAAAGACTCAACATTTCCAAGACACTCCCGGCTCTTGTTCCACATTCTACTTCCATAAGGTCTGCTGGCCATTTCTTAACTTGCACCATCACATTCCCCATCACCCATGTGCCTGCTGGCCAACGTCGGCTGCCAGTTAAGCAATGTCTTAATTTTAAAAAATATTATTCTTGTTTTAAAACCCCTCCCTATCTCTGAAATTGCTTCCAGCTCTAGTGTTCTCAGATATCTATGTTCCTCTAATCTTGTCTCTTGAGGGTCCATGATTTTAATCAATCGTTGGTGGCTATATCTTCAGTTGCCTGGGCCCCAAGATCTGGAAGACCATCCCTGCATCTCTCTATTTACCTACCTTACTTCTGACATTTAAGACACTTATTAAAACCTATGTCTTTGACTTAATATTGCTTTATACAGTTTGATGTTATATTTTGTTTTATAATGTACCTGTGAAGTGTCTTGGTAAGACCTATAAATGTAAGTTGTTGTTTTCGATCCCATAACAATAATTTTTGTTTAAAAATAATGAATGAAGGTAAAGGAAAAATTGTTCAAATGTAAGAATAAATTTACTCTGACAGAGAATGGGGATAGCCCATGGAGACTAATTGGGATCCTTTACAAGGAAGAAACAGAAAGCTTTCAGATTTCACTGGTAATTGGATAACCATAATGAAAAGAGAATGGAGACAATTTTTATCTCTCGGTGGCTTGTGCAACTATGGAACTTTCTGCCTCAGAAGAAAGTGG